CCACCAACGAACATGACTTGCTTTTGGCTAGTGTTGTGATGAATGTCACAATATTAACATCACTGTAGATCTTATCTGATGTGAGCAAAATTCTTGTTGGAATTAAAGTATGTCAGTTTTACTTTTGCATTAATAAACTGGTGCCAAACACCAATTGTAAAATACAAGTTGTGCAAATTGTACATAAATTTGTTTTTTCATCTCACTCATTACATTGAAAGAAGAGATTTAAATGCTATGGAAAAGATCTTTTTGCTTTTGAACACTTAAAAGTAGATCATTGCTCATTTGTGTACAAATGTATCATAAATTAAGACCAAGGTTAAAAAAACACGAATTAAAGTGTAACAATCAGTCAAAATCCTGTTTTATAGGAACTAGCAACTGCAAAAAAAAATATTTTAAGCATACATAACTTCAGATTGAAGAAATTAAGACCAACAGCAAAAACTCCGAATCAGGCAAAACATGTCCACTCAAAATATGAAATGAAAGTATGAAATGAATGTATTTTGGATTGTCGATATTTATGTGACAATCCTTGTATTTGATATAACGTCTTTCATGTTGAGAAGCCGTCTCAAAAGACTACACAAGATTTACTGTTCAATGAGCGTGTTTGTTAGAAAACCACTATTTTGCGCCATTTAAGCAGCAACTGTCAAAATAAATACGAAATTCTATACATAACCAAATGAGAAGTCATTGCATTTGTGAGGTCAAAGGTGATTCAATGTTCTATTGCATATTCTGTGTTATATTCTATTTATGGCAGTGCTTCAGCCTCTCTTCAATCTCCTATAATTGGCGAAATCACCTTAAAGATTTAAGAAGCTGACTCAGACCAGAGGATATGCAGCCTGACAACATTGGACAATGGACTTACTGGCAATAATGCATTTACTGTCTACAGCAGTGGTGGCCAACCTTTAAGGTCAACCAACAAAATAAATGTTCTTGATTGAATGTTTCTTGATTTATGCCATCAATCAAGAATTATTCAATAAAGTAAACACTGAAGACATTACTGATTGAACATAAACTGACCTAGACTTGTGCAAATGTTTTTGTTGGGGGGGGGGGGTGGTGGGGGTGGTGCGGGGAAACATCACACACACACTTCTTGAGGCCCCCATGAGCCATAGGTTGGCCACCTCTGCTCTACAACATGCAATAGAACACTGATGAGTTAACGTTAAATCACTTTGAACTAGAATTCTGAAAGTAGTGTATGCAACTGATGGATTGGATTCCCGGCAGAGGAAGAAATTGAGACAGTTTTGTGTATGGCATTTTGAAACTGTTGAATAGTCTGAATGGGACACAATTTTTTTTTGCAGTTGCTAGTTCCTGTAAAATAGGATTTTGGCTGATTGTTACACTTTAATTCATGTTTTTTTAACCTTGGCCTCGATCCTATATATTTCTATCTTCAATTGACCCTTCCTTCTCCAACATCAGCCCTTACTCCATGGACTTGAGCATCAGTCAAATCCAAGACAAACCTGCTTGAAATTGGTCATAAATGTTTTATCGGAGTCCTATAGCTCAGTGGTTAGAGCACTCGCCTCGGCAAGCGAGAGACTTGGGTTCAATTCCCAGCAGTGTGAAATGTTGCACAAGTTTCCTTACTCCATACGCCTTTGTTTACCTAGCAGTAAATAGGAACCCAGTTGTTAGTTGATTGGCAGATCTCTTTTCAGGGGTAATAATTCATTTTAAAAAATGTGGTCACTCAATCCATGACTGTTTGTGGGACAGTGCTGTGCGTAATTGGCTGCCGCATTTCGTCCACAAAATATACAGTCAATTCATTTTACTGTATATTCTGTGAAGTGCTTTGAGACGTCTTGAAGATGTGATAAGGCGCTATATCAAATCCAAGGCTTATTATTATTATTATCATCATCAAGCAATCATTTTCGAAGGTTTCAATTCTCAAACCTTTGTAAAACGCCTTCCTCTGGTCTCTAGGGTCTCTAGGCTGGGGAGGGAGGGTCCCTAGGCTGGGTGCCATGATAAAAAGCAAAAATAAGGAACAGGGCAGTCTTGTTTCCTTTCGCCTAACTGGATCTCGATAACCAATTGACGTAGAGACATGCTTTATACCTCTTCGGAAAGGTCTTGCATCTGGGAGTGATATGGGTATATTTGTTTTCAGGTAGCTCCTATTGTTTATGCGTTATTTCAGTTTTTCGCTACAGTCACACTTGATGGCTGCCGAGTTAAAATGGCGCTATGGCATCGTGTGTCAGAGCACCTACGTATGTACATACGCACTGCAGTTTTACCTAGTGGCCATGCCGACTGACCGTGGCGCTGTAGCATCCTGTGTCACAGAGCACACACATAGCCAAGCTGGCGGGAAAATAAAGAACACAGACGAAGCTAAGCCACGGCAACAACAAAATCACATTTTTAAAGCGCCTTTCACGTTAGAAGGACCCAGTGATTATAAATTATTCATTTATATTTATCATTATAAAGATGTCTAAGCAAAAATCAAACCTTTCAGGATAAGGAAAAATACCAAAGAGAGAAGCCCATTAAAATGAAGGTGAAGAATGAAATCCTCCCTCAGGAGTCCTCCTAGATGAGTATAAAGATGAAATGTCTGTGTGTGTCTGTCTGTGTGTTAATCTACATTGCATATTATATCCTTTGGTTGCAAGCAAAGCTGCAGCAGGTACATATAAATCATATATATATTTATATATAAATAAAGAGAAAGGTAACTGTTCCATTTATTCTCAGATAAGAATTTACCAACAAATTATTCTTTTAATTGTCTATCTACAGGAATCTTTATGTGCTGTTCAATAAGCCAACCAAGTGTTGAGTGAACCAGAGTGCATCTATGGTTTCCTAGCAATTCCACTCCGCAACTGGTTTCAACATTCGTTGGTTCTCTTTTAGAGGCAATATTAACAAGTTTAGAGATCAATCTTTGGATACACAAAGAGGAAACAGCTAGCATTAAAACACCACCTCCACATTTCTAAAGAAGATTTAGATTGATGTGATACTAGGTAATACAGGGTACATTCCAGAGAGAGCCATCACAGTAATGTGAAGTTTCCAATTGCTAAGAAACATGTTTTAACCACCACTGAGAACAGCAAGTATATCCTCTTCTGTCAAGTCCTAGTTAACATCTAGGGCTACCAGTAACTCAGCCAAACAGTTCACATTTTCGTACTCTGATTATATAAGCAACCACTAACAGACTGAAATCTCACTTCACCAATGGATTTATTTAGAAGCAATTGGAGCAAAACTCAGAAACCCACAAGGAAACACATCAGAACACAGGGCATCACATACTGTATACAAAACAATGGAGAGAATTTGTCAAAGCCCTCACTACATATTAACAGTTGTCAAATTTCTTATATTCATTAAGAAGGGAAATACACCATTTCGTTTGCAAAGTCCTATACAGCAAGTTGATTAATTTATTCCACATTTTCTTATTTCACTAATAGCCATAATTCTTTCATTTACTTATGATAAATTCTACACACCATTAATAATCAATTACAATTTTTCCTAAGTACACTAATGTGGAGGCTTAACCTCTGATCGATGTCTTACACACAAACAGTTTTGGATTAACAACTGAAAAAATGCTGGCACTGCATTACTGATTTAGAGGATAATTAAAGTTACCTGGGATGTAGGTCTTTGTAATCTTTGCCAAATCTGTGACACTTTGTCATAGAACTTGAATCTATTTATAGCCATGCCATATTTTATAATAATTCTTAATATTTTGCTTACTGAATGTTTAGACTGTGCTCCAAGCCTGGTTTATGTTTAGTTTCTTTAAGGGGGAAGGGAGTAACCATTTCTGAATATGAATCTCACCTAAACACTCAAATTCAAATAAAGGAACTTGGGTTTCTTAAAATATCCCACAACAAATAATGGCAGACATACAATTTATCTGTCTCATGGGGAAGATCTAACAAACACAGGATTTGAGCTACAAGTGAATAAACTAAATAAAGAATGGTTCCCCATTTATATAGTGTTTAAAAAGAAATGGGCCATGTTACATTTTATAAACATTTCTAAGAGTACAAACAATTCAGAGAGCACTTAATTTCTGCTCCATTATGCTTCATCTCACACCATCTCACTTGTTTTCTGGATGAGACTGACTTCCTTCTTTAAACACACACACTAGGAATGTAGTGCTTTGTCAAGTCATGGGATTGACTTGTCCACAAGCACTCCTACATTCACTATTGAATTAGGCAACTGATACGATAGTTTTAATGATCCATTATTGTACAGAAATTAAACTTGCTTTTACCACTTTGTTCTGTGCAAAAGGGATAATAGCCACTGTAAATTGTCTAATAAATAGCTCAGCCTGACTCACAAGCAAAGAGCTTCTGATGCCTGTGGAGCCATATGACACGTCATCACTTTCAAGAGAGTAGAGGGGATTGGGGGAGGGGATATAAAAGAGAAAAGATCCCAGGCAACATGTTTCCTAGTTATAGTACACATGGTCAGTGATGGAAATGAAAATTCTGATTTGGGATTTATTCCACTATGGGCAGTTCATTCTCACCATATTCAATTCATCCAGAAAGTTAGCCAAATGTTCAAACCTCTGCTCAGTTTATTACAAACCAGACTGCGTGTACAACTGAAATGGATGATGAATACAAAGTTTTGTTTTCCTGAATTGCAGGATATTGTTAACGGACAGTCGTATTTGGGGTGGGGGTTGAGGAAAAAGGAAAGAAGCTTTGTGCCACCCCCAACATACAAAAGGTGTACACGCTTTCCCCTCCTTTATTTATGCGCAAATGAAGTTAGCAGTTTAGAATCATTTCTCTTTCAAAAAGTACAAAAATAGCGCATAGCAATTTCTGGATCCGGTTAAAGCAATGGTTATCTGGTAATTTTCAAACACTTCAGTGAGTTTGGGCAATGAAAGGACTCTCTTTCAGTTCTGAAAGGAAAGATAAATAAAGACCCCAAAAAACAGTCAAACAGCATGTTGTATTAAAAGAATTATGTTACAGTACAGAGACCACAAGAGACAGACTAATTGAGGTTACATTTCCAGTGTTTTAGTTCTTTGCTTCAATAAAAACAAAGGTGACTATTTTCTTGTACACTTAATCGAGTGCAGTCCTGCAGCAGTTTACACTTCTGTCCTCCTATTGCCACACATTTTATGAACAGCTTTGAACAGCTATGGCCATATCTGACCAGTTTGTTTTTAAGATGCAACAACAAACACAAAGGACAGAATGTATACAGTTTATCCATCCATTAGTTATAAAAAAAACATAACTACTGATTTTAATTTAAGAAATTTTTAAATAGAACAATATTTCTAATGAGGAAAAGGGGATTAAAAAGCTAACATATTGAACACAGGGCACTTTCAGTGATTATATAACACATGTACAAAGAAAAAGAAAACTTTGTTAATCTTTAAATTTTTTGCCTGCTTATAATATAACAGCAATATCTAATAGCTATGTAAATCCTAGCAATCTAGTGGCCACATCATAGTGGGAAACTATGCAGCAAGGGTAGAAATATTTTTGTGAGTGCGCACAGCCTGAGAACCAATTCTTCACTGGATATACCTTGTTCACCTCAAATCAGATATTAATTTTGTAACAAACTAGAATTATAAATAGATAATAGGCATAACAAATGTACTGATGTGTTCACAATTATCTACAGAATTTCAGTAGAGGCCACATACATCCCCACTTTGATTTCTCCCTTTACCATCAACAGATGTAGGGCCAGAAAGTATAAATTACACAACCATAACCTATTTTGCAAGGACTTAAACTCATTAGAAAAATTCTATGCTGGAAATTTAGAGAAATCCCCAAAATAACTCCCGTCAATCAACAATATCACGTGATACCTTCCCATCCAGTCCCATGCCTCGGTTGAGCCCCAAAGGCAGCCATTTATACATTCCCACTGTGACCATTGACAGAACTCTGAAAGTCACAGACACAAACACTTGCACAAAACAAAGAATTATACAGTGTTCAGGCCCCCAGCTTTCAAACCATTCCAAACCATGAAGACCTAGAGTAATATTGTAGATGTCAAATAATAAAAAACTCCTCTCTAAAACCAACATCCACTCTTTACCAAAAACACGGCACAAAGGAAAAGCACCCTCTCCTTTACCTGCACTCCACAATTCCACCTCACTGTATTGTCTCATCCCCTCTCCTCAGGCACTGATATCAGGAGACCCCATGATAAGCAAAGGGTGTCTAGCATTCAAGAACGGCCGACGTCATCGGTGCTCTCTACGTACTGCACACATGATGTAAGAAGTGACTCAGCAGTGGCCATTTTTGAAGAAAATGGTGTCATCCTCACGTCCTTCTCCCAGGCATAGAGTGCAGGAGGTGGCCATTTTTAGAAGGAAATGATATCAGCCATTCATGAGGAAGAAGTGATGCGTGGGAGCATTTTCACACTGCATCCCATTAAAACATTGGTGTGAACATAGACATGAGTGAATAGGGAGACGGGAATGGAATGGTGGAAAGATAGGGAGGGAGGAACAAGTGTGAGTAAAGGGAGGAAAAGAGAGAAAAAAAAATGGGGACAGTGGCAGAACAAAGTTTGCAAGTTTGATACTGGGAAGTTAAAGCTACAAAGGAGAGTGTCGCAGAAGAAAGATACAGGAAAGAGATACCGTTTGAATGACTAGGTGTGCAAAAGGGAAGAATGAGTGTGAGGGAAGAGAGATGGAAGAGCAAATGAGTGTGAGTGCGCAATGAGACGGAGAAAGGGAAAGCTCAGAAAGACTGATGAGAAAGAAAGAGAAAAAGACAGGCAGAGGGAGCAACACAAGGACAGAATGAGAAACACATACAAAACTAACTGACAGCGAGACAGGATGAACAGAGAGAGGGAAATAGGATAGGCATCGAAAAGGGATTGAGACAGTACGTGCATTGAGAGGAAACAGATGCAAGTCAGGGAGAGAAAGGCAGCAATACAGAGACAAACAGAAGACAGACTCATTCACAAAGTATGCCAGTAGTTATGCTCACTGCTCCCTCCTATAATAAACCTGTGTACCCGGGTAAGCCCTCCTCTCCAATGCCCATCCTGGGATGGGCCACTTTACTAGCTCTGAATAAACCTAAAATACATTTTAATGATTGATGTGAAGGCTGAATAGTCTGATTTTGAAAACACACCTAGCCAAGTCCCACATCTTGTCCCCTTCTTGATTTAGCATGATTGGTGGCTAAACCCCATAAATGTAATAGATTGTGAAGAAAAAGAGAGCGAAATGAAAAGAAGCCAAAAAAAACCCTCAACAGATAGCAGTCAAGTGTAGAAGTTTTAAGTTATCTCATTATAGATCAACTCACCAATCTTTAAGCAATAGGTTTGTGCTACCTTATAGAACTAAGGCCATTCCACTTTCTGGAGCCGTGGGCATAATGATCTAGCACTCATAGGACTACGACTAACACTCTGATCAAGTCAACATTGGAGAAAAATTGTAGAGTACTAGTGTGATGGTTAATGGGAGAGGCATAAGGTATTATCCTCATGACATCAATATTATAGATCATAAAATGACAGTGTTCCAATACTACATCACCTTCTGTACCGATCCTCTTGTTGTGTGACCTATATGCTGTTTCATCAACAATTGTATGCCTATATTTTCGATCAGCATCTACTTGTAGCTCAGTTTGACTTGCACCATGCCATTAAAACAAGGATTTGTGCTAATCTTAGGTCAAAAATGCCTTTAAAATTGCGCACTCCCTCTGCAATGGTGCTCTTATCCTGTTGGCATATTGAAGGCAAAAATCCTGGAGCAAATGATTTCTGGCCTCAAAGGACGCAAATCCATTTATATTTAGTTCTTCTAACTCATTTGCTGCAGTTATATAAACTATTGACAGTGTAGTAACAATGACTGATGGACTGTATTACAACTATATACAGTGGTGATTTTTTTTTAAAAGTTCATAGAGCTATAACATGAAAACTATGCTCAGCCACCAGGAGATCTGTTGCATTTACTTCAGGATTTAGTTCAAGTGGTGAGACAAGCTCATAGCACACAACTGCAATGCTAGTCTCATCCATGATTGCAAAGGCACTGCACCTCAGGAAGTTTATGGGACTAGTTTTCAACTTGCATCCATCCCATCAAGTCCAAATGAATATGAAGAAATCTGGGATAAAGTTTAAAAATTAGTCCTGAATTTCAATTCAAATATATTAAACATCAATCCCTCCGAAGGTCATAATTTTACACTTTTGCATCGAAAACCAGGAAAAAGTGAATCTTCTTCCTATAGGTCTGAAATGTATAATATTTTTGGATGGCAAAGGGTGGTGGAAGGGGGAGCAGGCTGATTAAGAGTTATTTCTCAGTGGAACACAAACTGTTTTGACATCAGTCATCACCGCATGTCTGTGGTATGGCCTATTAAATTTGATTAACCATTTAAAATGACTCTTGCCTGTGCCACGATCAACCCCAACAAGCTTGCTTTAGCATCAATACTTCCGTGTTTTTACAGTCCGAATAAAGTCTTTTTTCCCCCCAAAAGTCAGTCATTTCCAGATGGGGTTGGTGGTATCTTGCTGAAGTTCAGGTTTTAGCAAAAACATACAAAGCGAGAAACATCCATCGATGATCTATGGGTAATTTTCTTCCCTGTGCAATAAATAATAAACAGGTATTACCCAAACTGGTGGTTGCTATTGTTATACAATGTTTGATAAAATTCAAAACAGATTATCAGGTGTAGGTTATGTACTATTACATTAAAAAAAATCTTACAATCTGTATCAACAAAACCCCTGTCAATAAAGACACGGTCAATGAGAAGCCCCCATGCTGCACAACTTTAAATTTAGTAATTCAACTCTCCATGCCAGTTCTGCAATGTTTCTCCTATCGTTATTAAGTGATATGGTGAAATCGTGGGGAGCTGGGATTAAAAGATCTGTCAAGATTGAATAAACAGGTGGGACAGACTAATTTGACTCAATGGCCTCCTTTTCCTTTTTTCCCTGTTTTAATGTACAATGTCTTTTTTGACATTTGCATTTGACATAACTGAACATTAAAAGTGAATCACTTTTCCAAATGAAATCAATATATTGTATAACTAAGTTCACAAACTAAAAAAAAATAGGATCTTCTGAAGAGTTGTCAAGTGTGTGCAAACATAATGCTGTAGTGATCTCCAGAATGTGGATGTCCCCTCTTTCCCACTCTTCCCCCACCCTACATTTACACTTTAAATGTGCCTTAGCAAGTTAAAGAACTTAGCAATTACAACAACTTGGATTTATATAACGCTCTCCACGCCAGACGTCGTCTCAGAGTGTTTTACAGTAACGGATCCCAGGGCCAAGCCAGTGGGGAGGAAGGTGACCAAAGGTGCGGTCGAAGAGAAAGGTCTTCAGCAGAGACCTGAAAATAGGAAGAGAGGGGGCGAAGCGCAGGGAGTGAGAAAGGGAGTTCCAGAGCCTCGGGGCATAGTAGCTGAACGCACGGCCGCCGAGGGTGGAGCAGAGGACTCGGGGAACAAGGAGTTGGCCAGACCTGGAGGAACGAAGGCAACGGGCACTCTTTTGAGGAGAGAGGTCAGAGAGGTAGGGGGGTGCAGAGGAATGGAGGGATTTGAAGACAAGGGTGAGGATCTTGAAGTCGATCTTCTCTGGGACAGGCAGCCAGTGCAGTCTGGCAAGGACTGGGGTTATCGGGGAGCATAATTACAACAATTATATGACTTTGTAATGGAATTGAAATGATGAGCAATGGCATAGGTTTTATGATTGCAGGTGTGGTAAATAATCGGGACTATTCATTAATAATTGTGTAGTATTTATAAATTAAGCTAAATTTTAGTCGAACTACGGCTCTCGGTTCTTAATCGGCTGGAGTGTTATGTGTATGGAAGTATGGCAAAATCCACAGAGGCTGTTAATGTGAATTTTTTCATTTCATATCTAAAGAGATAGTAATTCCCACATTTAGCACTCAAGCTAATGGGAATTGGTTCAATCACGGATGGAGAAACCCAAAACAAAAATAGCTTATTCCCTCTAATGCCATCACTAGGACCTCTCAACCACAATTTCATTGTGGGTAAGTTTTCTCTCATTCTCTAAGAGATGAGTATCATTTGTCACTGAGCAGAAACTTAAAATTTAGAAACGCATCATTTGCCCACAAAACACAGTCACTCAACTTTACAGTATACCCTGTGAAGCACTTTGGGACACCCACCCGATGTAAAAAGGCGCAATACCAAACGTAAGGATTAATGTAATTTTATTTTGTAGGCTCTACATACTGAAGGATAGCATTGATAAGCACAATTGGCTGCTGCGTTTCGCCCACAAAATGAGTGATAAGGCACTATATCAAATGCTAGGATTATTATTATATGGCTGACCTCATCAAAGTGTATCTGCTCTGTCCCACTTCCTTCAGTGTTCTTTTTTTTTCCTTAATTAATCTACTGTCCACCCAATTTTCTCAGGAGAAAATGCATAGGGTGCAAATGTTCATTAGTTAATAATAATAATCCTTGCATTTGATATAGCGCTTTTCACGTCTTCCCGACGTCTCAAAGCGCTTCACAGAACACACTGTAAAGTGAATTGACTGTATATTTGTGGGCTAACGCGGCAGCCAATTGAGCACAGCAATGTCCCACAAACAGTTGTGGATTGAAAATGGCCAATTTATTATAGTTTTGTTTTGGAGGGATTATTATTAGGCGTGTGGAGTAAGGAAACTTGCCCAAGGTTTCGCCCTGCCTGGAATTGAACCCAGGTGTCTCGCTTGCAAGGCGAGTGCTCTAACCACTGAGCTACAGGACTCCACATGAAATTCTAACATGAAGCAAATAAGCACCTTCGTTTTGAGGAAGCAAGATACTGATTAAAGATGTTCTTTCTCCTCCTAATTTTCTCCTCTTCTGATTTGGTATTTCATTTTTTTTCCTTCCACTGGGATATAGCTCCATGGGAGCTGGTCACCTTCAATACCTCAGACAAATGACGTCTTGACAATATGTATTGACAGGTTATTTGACTGCGGGGGGAGTTGGGTTCGGGAAAGTAACAGCTAAACCAAAACATTTGGATGACGTTAGCCAGATTCAGTTGGTAGCACTCTTGCTCTCAGTCATGAGCTCATAGTATAGGCTGACATTCCAGTGCAGTGCTGGGCGAAGTGCTCAATTGTCAGGAGGTGCCATCCTTCAGATGAGACATTAAGCCAAGGTCCTGTCTGCTTGTTTAGGTAGACATGGCATTATTTGAAAAGAAAAGGAAACTTCTCCTGGTATCTTGGCCAACAATCCCCCAAATAAAATTGATCATTCACTTAATGGCTGTTTGTGGGACACTGCATCGCATCTGCATTTGCCCACAAAATACAACAGACTACACTTTATAGAAAATTCTGTGAAGCACTTTAAGATCGCCTCCTGACATAAAATGTATTACATCAGGATCATTCTAATTATTTCATCTTCCAGTACTGGGTCAGGACCAAGAACTCTGCTTTATATTCCCCACCCCCCTCCTTCAAAGAGCACTGATGCCAAATTGTAGCACCCCAGCTCTGAATAGGAAAGGCAGAAAGACGTCACATTTAATTATATTTTTCCCAGAAAGTGGTGGAGATTGAAAATAGACTACACAGGGAGGCAGTGGAGATTGACTGTTTCAGCAAATTCAAGAGAATTCAATAACCATTTGGCCTGAGGGATATGAGAGAAATATAATTTGTTTTTAGCTTTTGAGTCCAGCCACATGGACCATTATCTTCTCCAATCTTATACATTCAACTAACCCAGGACACTGCAGGAATCAAACGTGCAGCCTTCTGGTTTGTGTGACTCAAGTGTCGTCCTGGGAAGTAGTACAATGCTAGGCAGTAGTTCACGGAGCTTCACAAAGAGCCCTATAAAATCACAAAATACAACCAAAAGCGGAGAACTAATGAGGAAATTCCCGAGTAAGCATCAATCTCTGAAAGCATTTACCTTCAGCCAAAAGATCTCCAACAATCAATGTCAATCTGCTACCAACGAAAATCAAATAAATTAAGTCACACCTTGAAATTATTTGACCATCAGTTGAAGTACATTATTCTCACTTCATTTCACAGGCGAGACTGTGTTCTGAACACTGTGCACACATTTGGGTATTTTACCTTTGAAAGGATGTTAATGCTTTGGAGAAAGATCAGAGAATTACAACGGGGATGATTCCAGGACCTAGAGCTCAGAGTTTATGAGGCGAGATTTGCACAGCTGAATTTGTTTTCATTGGAGAAAAGAAGATTGATGGGGGATATAATCCATGCTGAAAGGCATAGATGATGCAAATGCAAGCAAGCTGTTTGACTTGGACCATGAATGAAGAACTGGAGGCCATAGACTTAAAATTAACAAGCCTCAAGTGAAACTGGAGATTAGAATTCTTTTCCCTCCACACTGGATAGATACATGGAATAGAATCTCAGCAAAAACAGTTGCTCTGTTATTAACCTTTTCAAGAAGAACTAGATACATATTGGTTTGAGAACAATATTGAAGGTTACAGAAATACATCCAGACTGGATAGAACAGGATAGAATACTCCTTAAGACACAAAGATTTATGTGCTGCGGATTCTAGGAGGAATGTTCCAAAATGTTGCAAAATTTTTGTTTGGAAGTCTGTTGGTGGTCAGATGTGGAAACGTCTCTCCAAGAGATTAAGGAACATTTATAGTCTGTGGAAAGAATGGTTTGATGTCCTGTTTCAGATTCCATGGTAGACGTTTGTATTGCTTTCTATACCAATGTTCCATCTCCCAGACATTCAGGCGCAATTTGGAGTAAACGTCCTTCGCTTCCTGTAGGTGACTAAGCAAGAAAACTTGTACGGTACCAATTTGAAGCAGTGCTGTGATAACTGAACAATCCTGAGTTCCACTTTAATCATGAGCCAATTTGATATGGGGTAAAATTGACATAGCATCTTCCTAGTGCTCCATGGATGGGTTCAGGACAAATTGTCACCGTGTCTATTCAACATGTCAACTACTCGAATAAAGTTCCCTTCACATCTACTTTCTTTTTGCCTGACAATTGCTGCTCAGTGAATAATTCATCGGGCCCCGATCATAAGAGATTTCAAGTTCAGCTTCATAGAGGATGGAAAACAGTACATCATCTGCATTTGTCCCTATACAAGGATTAAGGTCCGGGGCTGAACGTGGCCACCGGCAACCGTGATTTTCAAGACGAACAGAGTATTAAGAACGGTACGAAGGTGGTAGTGGTGGGGTGATTTCCTGGGTAATATTGTTAATCAGCATCCATGGATGCCACTTTCAGTTTGGAAGTAAGTACTATATTCCTCCTCCCCACCCCCACATATCTCAGGGGAACTGGATCTTTAAATAGATGTTGAGTTTTCTTTGGTGGTCTCCTTCCTGTTATCTTTGTAGCAGGAAATATAGATCTGAGATTCAGGAACTTTGTTCTATTTAGTCTTATGATTCTAGTTTCCCCGATTTGGCACTTTTTNAAAAAAAAATCAGCAATGCTCAGAAATTTGCACTTATTACTTATCTTTTTTTCTGAAAAGATTAGTAGGTTGGGAAAGGTTTCTTACTGCTGATTCATTCATTTAGAATGGAATAAACTGAAAAAGGCCTCTCATAAGCCTAAACCGATTAAAAAAAAACTTTTGTGGAATGAGGGTTCATGTGCATAGCAAAAGCTAAATATATGTTTTTTGTGTTAAACCGGCCCAGATATAGAATATACTTTTGAAGGGACAGGTATCCATCCCTTTGTTTTTCCCTTGTTACATTACATACCATTTCCATGCTATAAGAAATGAAAACAGTCATAATATTGTTGATTTTTCTCTGCAACATGTATTGTTTGGAGCCTCATGAAAATGGGATAACGAGAGGCACATTATATTAGTAAAGAAACCATAAACAATGCAGGTACACAGAGGTCGTGGTATATCCAAGGGATATATTGCGGAGGTTTTGTGTAATAGAAATAAAGAGCAGTAAATCTATCCATGGCAGTATACAAATCTCAGGCTTCATATTAAGTTGTAAAACACTATGCTTGTACAGTTTGACAGCCCCTCAATTGTAACTCACTTTATTGTTCCATTATTGTGTGTAATACACACACATATACACACCACACACAATCCACTGTACAATTTTCCTGCATTATATACAATCCCAATTGACCTTTACTTTTATAAATGGCTTACTGTGAACTCAACATTTCCAAGCTAGATGCCACCCCCTTACAATACAAATAGCACTTTTAATGCATTTATCAAACACTCAGCCTTAGTTCCAATTTAATGTTCGTTTCTTTTCAGTTCTCATACTCAGTCTCTCTCTCCCCTCCACATCCCTCATGTTTAGATCTAATAACATTGAGCTAAAAATGGCAACTACATTTTGCAAAATATTTAAGATTTAAAAGTAATCTAGAAAAAACTTTCCATTTTGCAGAAACCACAATCCACTGTAAAAAAAAAGCCCCCAAAAAGCAATCTTAAGAGTAAATGTTCATTAAACTGACCTGTCAAATCTGAACCTTCACTTTGCCTCAAGTTCATATTCCCAACAAATGCTACTTTTGGTAAAATTCCAAGAAAGTTGCAAGCCACATTATAAGCTGATGGTGCTAATAGAAAATAGTTACAAAATTCTGTACTACAATGGAAAAAACACCATACAATATTAATCACAATACTGAAACATCCTCTTCCCCACAAACAAAATAAAATTAGTCACTAACCTTTTATCACCAAAGCTGTCAGGGGGCTTTGTGTGAAATGAGTCAAGTTCAACAAAGATTATTTTTTTTAAAAAAAGTGTTCAGAAAAATAAATAGATGAAACCTTCTGGTCCTTCATTCAATTAATGGCAAAGGAAGCTTGTTCACCCACTCAGTAGTTGAATTTGAGGGTTTCATATGTAGGATGTTCACGTTCAGAATTTACTAACACATACAGTACAGAGCTGAGAAACGATGACAAGAATGTTGCAGTCTTTTGTTTTGCAAAGTCAGCCATAAAGAGCAAATCTAACAAAAGTGCTATAGTGAAAGGTATCTTTGTGTTCAGGCTCCACTTCTAATAAATAACTTCATAGACTGTAGCCTTCTTGTCCCCAGAGCCGGTGACAATGTATTTATCATCCACGGAGATATCGCAGCTCAGGACCGATGAGGACTCCTTGGACTGCAATTACGTTAAGAAAACAAAACACAAAGTAAAAGGAAATTAGAAAGGATTATAAAGTACTGCATTAGTGTGAGTTTGGTTAGAGTAAACAATGTGGATTGTCAGAATTAAACAAATTGTATGCAAAATTGACTTGCAGTTACACAAATTAGTTCAGGCTGCAAAACAATCCCTAACAAAGATGCAAACTAGATGTAAGAGGGTCAAATCTTTTTTGAATCCTACTCTGTTGCTGTGGTTTTAAGTGGAAGTATGAAGTGCTCAATATGACCTTTCAAGGTGCAAAAGCATTTCTATCTTTCATTTCTGTAAGTTGTCTTTCTGCTTTCTTAGATTCCCCCTCTGACATACAACATTCTCCAACTCAGAAACATGCAGTTCCCAAGCTTCTGCAAGCGTGACAGCAGGAGAGTGTGGCTGGTAGAATTACAATGCATTATGTTTTCTCTTTGCAAAAAAGAGATCTCCACTTGCAGCAGCCTTTAGGTGGCCCACTTTAGATCTGGAACACCTTATACAGGGTAGAGGGTAAAAGAGAGATTGATCACTTCATTTAGCATGTTGTCAGAAAATAAAACATTAGCGTGCTGACCGATCCCTGGGTATGCTGAAGAGAGTGTCCCCAACCCACCATCACCTAAAGACATTTAAAGTGATTGTACTCTAAAGCTTAAGCCACTGCTCTGGACCAGGAGTGAGCAGGGTACTGGCTACTCGACCGAAGGTCAAAGCCAGTATCCTTATCCCGCAAAGCTACAGTCCAATGCCTCGATATGGCAGTGCAATACATGGGGTGAGCAGGTTCCAGTCATAAGCATTATGGAGGACTTCGGGAGCATGAGGGGGAAGAAGAACACCCAACTGGTAAATTTGCCACATGAACTAGTTGCTTTAATCGATGACAGGCTAATTAGCACTCCCCGCAGTAATTAACACATCACAATTTTCACCCCCAGGGTTTTGGAACTGACGTTTGAGATAGGCGTATGCTAAATTACATCATTTGTTATTTTAAAATATATTGTGCATGTCGGTTTGTTTTCAAAAGACTACTTTCTGTGGACTTTTGGTTGTTGGGTGTATCTGTTACTTCAGTAAAAAATGTGGTCTGTCTCATACCTCAAAAAAAGCCTTAGGGTGTCTGTTGGTTTTTACATGGATGTATAATACTGTATTCATTAACAGAGGTCACAAACAATAACTCCTACCAGTAACCAGATGCCTGTCACACCAACCTGTGGGAACTCTGCCCCAACAAGCTCCATAACCACACTCAGCCGAGTTTAATTCAATTGAGGTGACGGACTTGCATTCATTATTTCTGATTCTTTCTTGATCAGCAATTTCCATTTTTGCCTCCATGTGCTCATTTCGACCAATTAGATTAACAATACTATTTGCATTTGGTAATGCCTCATAGGCCTCAAACTCTCTCAAAACAATCAATACAATGAGTTTAATGAAAAATTTCACATCTCCATGAGCAGCTTGCTAGATATTTTAAGCTTCCCTCCCCCCACCGCCAGTCCCCACCCCACAAAAAATTGTTAGAAAATTGCCATTCATAACCTTTCTTTGGGGGTACGTTTACACATATAATGAACAGCAATTTCAACGTAACAGCAATTGCACCCGCCTTTGAATTGTTACCGAGTTGCAATACTAGATAATGCAGTTTCTCTCCAGAATTCTGTTTGAAAGCTTAAATAGAATATTTGACATTCCACCTACCTGGAATATGCTGGCTCCGTAAGGGGTTCTCCAAGCATTCAGCAAGTTATCCTTCCCAGTACTTACAAACCACTTACCTAGAGTTAGAATTGAATATAGCAGTTCAGTGTTTCGTAATGATAAATATAAAGCAAACTATTTTTACATTACATAAAAAAAACACTGAACATAATGGGGAACACCCCAATGCGCATTCAACCAGCTGTTACCTTCTGTGAAAATAAAGCTTCGATAAGAGTAATTTACAGCTCTGGATGCTGGGTTGTTTGTTATGGATACCTTTATCCATATGGCTTAGTTGCTATTAAAAGTCTCCTTAGTTCACTGTAAATTTGTCAAACAAATGTAGATGTGCAACTTTTGAAGAATTTATTTCTGAATTTTTAACCCTTTGCAGAACAGTCCTGGGATCACTTTAATGCATTTACTATAGGTGTAACTCAGAGTTCTACTGATTTTCTGATTCAGCCCCACTGAGCTTAGTTATTGTAATAGTTCATCCTTTCACCAATATATCAACTCTACAGAAGAAGATAACCAAAAGGGCAACTTTTCTTTCAGGTAGATGAACTTTAAACTGAACAGCTATCTGAAACCCACATTAGAAAAACAGGAAATGTCNAAAAAAGGAAAATAAGTTAATAATAGAAAGAGTGGACAGATACAGTTCAGGCAAAACCAGAGTATTTTAACTGGAAAGTGCAAATCAAATCCTAGTTTAGAAAACAAAACTAACAATAGTGAAGGCAATGTGATAGTGGAGACATGTGAGGAGCACCAAGGCAGCAGATAGTACGCAACATCTTAAGAAAAACTTCAGACAAAGATATTTGAATCTGTCCATAATATGTAACCAGTCGACTGCCAAAGGAGCAGTTACAAAAAAAAAACTTACCACAATGAGCAAACTTAAGAGATAGCACGCAGCTCTCATGGAGGTGCAGCTGATATTTGTCTGGTTTGGTCACATGCAGCACTTCTACATTACTGTTCTCCATTCCAACTGCAAGCCATTCACCAGTGGGACAATATCCCAATGAAAAGATCTGGAACAGAAAAATATTTGAAACTTTTTGCAGATTTTTTTAAAAAAAACGCAGTGAGTTGTTCCAATCTGGAATGCACCACCTGAAGGGGTGGTGGAAGCAGATCCAATAATAATTTTCAAATGGGAACTGGATATATACTTGAAAAGAAAAAAAATTGCAAGGCTATGGAGAAAGAGTGGGGAGTGAAAAAAAGTCACTCAATCCATAACTGTTTGTGGGACACTGCTGTGCGTAAATGGTTGCATCGCTTCGCCCACAAAATAATAATAATAAATAATAATAATAATCCTTGCATTTGATATAGCGCTTTTCACGTCGGGAGGACGTCCCAAAGCGCTTCACAGAATATACTGTAAAGTGAATTGACTGTATATTTGTGGGCGAACGCGGCAGCCAAAATATCAAATATACTGTTGATTCCCTTTACAGTATATTCTGTGAAGCGTTTTGAGACATCTCAAAGACGTAATAAGGCACTATATATCAAATGCAAGGATTATTATTATTATATTCAGAAATTGTGATTATATTTAAAATATACTCTAGTAAACTACAAATGGAACTAAGCATTTACAGGGAAAAACATCTTTACTTTCTGCCGTTAAATGGTACATTAGGGAGCTGTGACCAGTGGATGATTCTGAAAAAAATGAATTTGCTACAGTTTAGTTGCAACTAAACATTTGTTGTTGTATATAGGTCAACAACAACTTGCCCGGGCGGCATCTCAGAGCACTTAACAATGGTGGAGCCCAAGGCTGAGCTAGGGGGAGGGGCAAGGTGACCGTAGGCACGGTCGAAAACGAAGGTCTTCAGGTGCGAACTGAAGATGGGGAAGGAGGGGGCGAGACGAAGGGGTTGAGGGAGATCAGTCTAACATACCCATGTTCCCATGGTGCAGAATGAAAGTGAGTTTTATTAAAGCTGGATAAACCATACCAGTTTTCAAGTCATGCTTCGACTAACTGTATATAAACCATACACACATTTGCACACTAAATGTTATATCATTCAGTAGAACACCGAAAATAAAAAGTTCCGCTCATGAAATACTGCTTTTGTTTGTATCATGAATGACTAGAATGGCCCTCTTGCACAGTGAAGTAGGAGGTGAAATTCTGAATGACTCCTTTATTTTGACATAATTTTGATGAGTTTTAAAGGTTAGCAATGGTCACTATAAGCACATAACCATTGATATAGTGTTAAAACTAACCCAATCATCAGGTTTAATTGGTGTTCATTATCTACTCCAGTGCTGCTATGCAAATTATTTTGATTGCTTTACAACCTTTCCTAAACTTTCCAGTGTATGTCTACATACCTGGGATGTGAAGTCGTGCTGCTGTAGTTGTCTTCCTTCCCGGAGGTCCCAGGATCTCACGGTGTTGTCTAAACCTCCCGTCCAAAGCTTGGTGCCATCATTTGATATGTCAATACAGCTGGCCCCATCTGTGTGACCCTGGAATTGCCTGATATCATCAAGAAAATAGCAGAGTGTCACTTTCTTTTATTTTGTGCCAATAATGGTGTTCTATAACCTCTTGTACTACACCCAAACCAATTTTCATATATTAAAAGTATTATCTAAAAAGATAAATAAGTCATTCATTAAAGCAGGCCTGAACATCTAAGAATGCTACATTTAAAGCATGGAAATAATTTTTATGACCGGGCACAGACTCCTTAACAATGTTTAACATTTCAAATTAAAGTAAAAGCTTGAAAACATAAATTCACCTTTTATGAAAACATTTTAAAAATACACACCAGGTATAATTTCGCCCACAAATATACAGTCAATTCACTTTACAGTATATTCTGTGAAGCGCTTTGAAACGTTTAGAAGACGTGATAAGGCGCCATATCAAATGCAGGGATTATTATTATTATATATAGAATTTTTTGGAGTGGTAAAAATAATATTTTTCAACCTAAAAGTCAATTTATACAAGTATACATATATTATGCAAATTGTGAAAACTGCGTTGGCCTTAATTATGTAATTGGTTAATTTTGAAAACATTTTGCTTAATGTACTTTTAAGAATGGGGTTTATTATGCGAGTTATGTAAATGCATGTACACAGAGTTGACCTTAATTATGTAATTAACCAATTACATAATTAAGGGCTTCTCTGTGTACATGCCTTTACACAACTCACATAATAAACCCCATTCTTAAAAGTACATTAAGCAAAATGTTTTCAAAAATTTTCGAATGTTAATCATCTCTTACCGGACTAATGTCTGATTGTGCAGATCCCAGACAGCAATATTACCATCGCTGCAGCACGAGAAACAGACCTTGGAGTCGGGGCTTATAGCCAAAGCATAGCAGGCAGGAGCGGAGGACGTCAACTCCGCCTTTATACGTGGAGTTGGGGCTGCCAGGTCCCAAATGGACAACGTACTGGCTTCACCACCAACTATCAGGGTCCGGCCATCAGGGAGCAGCTTGCACGATCGGATGTAATTGTCTCGGTTCTGTTGAGACAGAAATTGTTGGGAGATTATTTACACTGCAGGTACTGGAAACAAACACACACTTAATCTGCACTTACTTTAACTATTTCTACTCGAAACGAACAGCTTGACAGAAATGGAAATGTAATGCAGGATTTACATTTTTCATAAAACCACATAAATTTGACTGACAAATTCAGTGCAGTTGACAGTTACTGTTAACATTCATTTAAACTTATAATAATAATCCTTGCATTTGATATAGCACTTTTCACGTCTTCTAGACGTCCCAAAGCGCTTCACAGAATATACTGTAAAGTGAATTGACCGTATATTTGTGGGCGAACGTGGCAGCCAATTGCGCACTGCAGTGTCCCACAAAGTCATGGATTGAAAATGACCAATTTATTATTGTTTTGTTTTTTTGGAGGGATAATTATTAGGCGTGTGGAGTAAGGAAACTTGCCCAAGGTTTCGCCCTGCCTGGAATTGAACTCACTTGCAAAGCGAGTGCTCTAACCACTGAGCTGCAGGACTCTTGGGAAACTTGGGAGTTTCATGCTTATGAATAATGTGTGGCCACATAGCCAGCCATTTCAGAACTCATGATTAAGGGAATTTCACTTCTTTGAAATGTAAAGTGGAAATAATACAAGCTACAACAGAACATCACTTTTAAAAATGTAGTCTACAACTCTGTACGTTACACCTACCACCCTCTCAATATGTGGAAATGCAATGAGCACACAGCAACTGACACCTGGCAGTAGGTTTCACTGTTGTAATCTAAGTCTAGTTATTTGGGAGGATTGCATTAAGCATTATTCAAATTATGGATGACATCAGCTGAACTGTGAGATTAGACTCCAGTCTTTAACGCGCTCTTATAATTAACTTTTTTTTAAATCACGCATTGTAGTTTAACATATCCTTGGTGATCCCATCACCAAAGGTATCATGTGCGCAGCAACTATTACTGAACGTAATCCACTCCTTCAATACTGCCATAAATATACCAAGCTCCAGACATTCATGGCGATGGAAGCAATGCAGGACTGTGAAATTCAAGCAACATTATTTCCCTCTTTTTAAAGTGGATTGGAGGAGAAATATTAACTTGGTATGTTTATAAAAGCTGAAGTCTAAAGGTATGAAGAGAGGACAATCCCAATCAATCTTTAATCCCTTTAATGGAGATTTCTTACATGCCTCTGGAGTAAAATTGAAGTAACAACCACATTGCAAGGGATCAGCCTGACTCGGTTGGTAGAACGTGTCTTCAAGTCAGAAGATTGTGGGTTCAAGCCATGTAGGGAATTTGATCTCAGTCTAGGTTGATGCTCCAGTGATGTGCTGCATTGTCAGAGGTGCCGTCTTTCGGATAAGACGTTAAACCGAAGATCCATCTGCCTAATTGGGTGGGTGTTTATGATCATGAGACTTTGGGAAAGAGAAGGGATTTTCTCCTGGTATACTTGCCAACAGTCCTCCAGATTAAACTGGCCATTCATTTCATGGCTGTTTGTGGAACAGTGCTACGCACAAAGTGGCTGCCACATTTGTCGACAAACCCAGTGTTACAGTCATTTGTATTTAGCCCTGCAAGACGTTTTGATGATTTGATAAGTCCATATCATATGCAAATTATTCAAATTATTAGTGCAGCTCTGACAGTCCTTAGGGAAGGACTGAGTAACTGCAAATAAATGTCTTATCCATTGGCCAGATAACAAGACCAATCAGCAGCAGGGTCAGGCATGTCTCCGAAACATACTTCAACATTACTGAGGCCCACGTATTTCCCAATCAAATGAATAAAAAAAATCAGTAATACATATCATGAGCACTGATATGCTGCTTCCAGGAAGGATTTTGAACTGCAATCCCAACAAAGATTATGTTACTTCAACATTGAGAAATAGGCTTCCATAAATCCACAACTAATACTGGCCAGTAAATGACCAGTATAACATTTGATATTTAAAAGAACCGGTCACCAAATCCCTTCCCCATCCTTAGACATTATTATTCTTGCACATTCCTCTTACCAGGCAGTCCAGCTGAGAGACCGGGCTCTTATTACCAGGGTGACTGATATCCCAGACCTTCACACATCCTTTCCCACCAGTGTACACGTGTCTGGTGGGGTTGCTGATGGTCACTGCGCACACGACCTCGCCATGGCTCAGAGAGTTCATCTGACGAGCGTGTCTCGGGATACCCGGCCCGATCAGGGCGTCGGGAGGGAAAGGCACAGGCTGCATCTGTCCATCCGCACTTACATGAAATGAATAAGCACTATTTAAAAGAAAGTACAGATTAGTAAATGTATCATAAGTTTAAAAAAGTGTTAGTTCATTTTCCTCTCCTCGGTTCCTCCAGTGTCTTGCTGAGTAGCCATTATATATGTTACCTCTATAGTGAGTGTTGGCAGATTATTTAATTGGGTGAGAGTGGGGGGGGGGCATTGCATGACTTTAATGTACAAATAGAGGATGAATTCCTATTTCCACCACCCTCCCAAAAACACACTTTTTCTATTGTGCCTTATTGTTGATAATTGTCAATATGCACTTACGGTTTTCCCCCAGGAATGCCAGTCAAGTTTGGCGGAATGCCTGGTACACGCATGTGATGCGGATCAAATCCAACCTAAAATTTCCAGAATTAAATCAAAACTGAATTACTGTCATTCCTGAAAATATTCAACAGTAGCTCAAGTCATTTTTTTTAAAAAAACAAGAAACAAACTATTAAACATTCAAACAAAATTACAAGGGTTAGTTGTTTTTTTTGTTCCATCCAGTTTTAAAAAAAATTAAAGCACACTGCCTCTTCTTGTCTTCAATTCATCCAATTTAATAATAATCCTTGCATTTGATATAGCGCCTTATCACGTCATTAAGACATCTGTCTCAAAGCAATTCAGAGAATATACTTACAGAATATACTGTTACAGAATATTCTGTGAAGCGCTTTGAGACGTTCAAAGATGTGGTAAAGCGCTGGGATTATTATTTTTATAAATAATAATTCTTGCATTTGATATAGCATTTTTCACATCTTCTAAACGACTCAAAGCGCTTCACAGAATATACTGTAAAGTGAATTGAGTGTATATTTGTGTGAAAAACACGGCAGCCAATTGCGCACAGCAGTGTCCCACAAAACAGTCGTGGATTGAAGCGACCAATTTATTATTGTTTTTTTTCTTGAGGGATTATTATCAGGCGTGTGGAGTAAGGAAAGTTGCTCAAGGTTTTGCCCTGCCGGGAATCAAACCCAGGTCTCTCCCTTGCGAGGCAAGTGTTCTGACCAATGAGTTACAGGACTTATATTGTAGAATTAATGGACTGTGGATTCTGTGGGAGAAACACGGCAGCCAACTGCGTGCAGCAGTGTCCTACAGACAGCTGTGGAGTGAATATCAATATATATTTTTTAAGGGGTTATTACCCCAGGAAAGTGATTTGCCAATCGACTGACATCCGGATTTCTACTTACTGGTAAGTAAACAGAGGCGTGTGGAGTAAGGTAACCTGACTATGTTTTCACCTCGCCCGGGAATCACACCCGGGTCCTCTTGCTTGTGAGGTGAGTCTAATAGCCACGGCAATAAGTTGACTAAAAAGTGTAAACAACCGACCAACGCAACACAGCGAACTTACCACTGGAGAACGGCCGTAAGCAGCAACTGCCGCGGCTGCAGCCGCGGCGGCGCTCATCTGTGGTGAGATATTATGTAAACCTGCATATGCCCCTGGGCTTGTTAGCTCCCCGTTCATACCAGCGTGGGGCACAATTCCAAAAGGAGTGGGGTAAGGACACGGCACTGCCATGGGAGTCCTCAAGCCGGAGCCTGCAAATTACCAAAGCACAGTTTCAGTAATTGGATGCTGTAAGTATCCGCAAATGCATTTAGTGCGCCTCAGCTGGACATTTCATCTTTCAATTTGCCACTTCCAGGGGAGGGAAGGGAGGAAGCAAAGTGCTGGATAATGCACTGGTTTGTGGTTTCCTTCCTATAAAACATTCAGTGTAAAAATTGCAGCAATGAGATTTCTTGTTTTGTAACTGCAACCCAGTGGAACAGAAAATGAATTCATGTAACATTAAAAACAGGAATTCATGCCAGCAGCAAAGGCAACAACATTATCAAGCTGTACAATGGCACAACTGTTTATAGTGAGTGAGTGTTTAGCTACCTAATGGATCAATTCCTGGGGGTTTGCCAGGGATAGGCCTCAATCCTGGAGTGGAGTTACTTCCGGGAGTTGGAGCATCTGTTCGTGGAGTTGGAGTGTTTGACTTTGAGACTGGAGTAGTTGATTTCTCATTCTGGTATTTAAATAGAGGAGAGAACAAAGAGAAACACTTTATTGACAGCACTTTATTGATAGCACCTTATAGCCATCATGACGACATTGAAACACTATCTACATTATAAACCGCAATAACCTCTCCTCTTCGGTTTCAGCTTTCGTGGAGAGAAATGATCACGTTTCGCAGCAAGTCAACCCGCTTATCTTGCTTTCTATCGAAAGAAAACGCTGAATTTAGAAATCCAGATCCAGTGAGTTACAGCCTTAAGCAGATTCCAGATTTTATATACAAATGTAATGATTGAGTTTTAAGTCTCTGTTTTGAGTCACATAGTAACAATTTCAGGTATCGGTCCATCTCGTCTACCCATCCAATTCCCCACAAGATTCCTTCAATGCATGCACAATTTATATCAAACCTTGAAACCTTCCAGTATAAAAGAATAGCAGGGCAGCCCAGAGAGAACATGCTTCAGTGGGTTTCCTTGGACCGCAGGCCCTATATGAACTCATGCTAGAATAATAAATAATCCTTGCATTTGATATAGCGCTTATCACGTCTTCTAGACGTCTCAAAGCGCTTCACAGAATATATTGTAAAGTGAATTGACTGTATATTTTGTGGGCTATATCAGACGTAAGGCACAACTAGCGTCTGGTGATAATCAGCCAACTTTCCAGGCTAAAAAAAATCCGACTTCCAATCATAATTTAAATTACCGCCAACAATGGTGCTTTAGGGCTTGATAATGGATCTGACTCTTGGGAGAGTACCAAGTGTCAGCCCAAATCTATACATTTTTTAAAAACACAAAATGTTATGTGTTAGTATTTGTGGGTTACAAAGAGTTTTCACATTGCACATCAGTTGGTACTTAGAAACAGTTCAATGCTACTACTTTGTTCTACTTTATTCTCAGCTGAAATGTTAAGATAAGTTATACACATTACTCACAAGACTCAGTTCTTTGGACTTTGAAGAAGGAGTGCTGCTGGAAGAAGCTATGGAAGCTGGGCTAATAGGCGCATCCTTTTTTAACAGGCGGGATTTATCCAACCCATTTTCTCTTGGTGAATGTGGGGGGCTGCCTCGTGGAGAGTTTGGATCCTAAGACAAGAGAATAACATTTTTTGACTGAGTAGAATTAGGAAGTTTCCAGATGAGCATTTATAACCTTATGCTGGATGAATTTTCCTCTGTAATCAATTGCAATTTATTTCTTAATAGTTTTGTGTGGACATCACATGTTACATCAATAATATGGAGCAATATGGAATTGGTTATTAAATTATGGGGAAGCAGCCACAGTTGCAAAAGATCCACGCACACCACATCTGTGTAATCATAGGTTACATTTAAGATACAACAACAACAAATCACACTTGTAATAGTGACCTTCACATCAAAAAGATGTCCCAGGGTAACAGTAAATACCCTGGAGCAATTTCAAGGCTAAAATCTTGTCTCAGGATTTAGATCGGATAAATTATAAACAGTTAACAAGATTCCTGCTTTGTGTGCCCTAATTAGAGCAAGGTTAACAATTTATCCTCTCTACTTTTACCATTAATAAACATGCAAGACGCACATGTTTAGGAAACCTCAAGCAGAAAGAAAGCATAATTTATCATTTTTAAACTTGCTTAAAACATTAAGTCCATAAGACATTTTAGATAATCATTTCAGAGAAATGCATTTACAGGAACTATCTTGTAAAATCAATCATGAACTTGGTTTGCTAAATGATAAATTATGTTTTAGAAGAAACCTAGATTGATGCACTCCAATATTCATAAAAACAAAATCTTTGCTAATTGATGCATTTATTAAATTCAGTGCATTTGACATTCTTTCTACAAAATATTACAAACCTCATTGGAGACATCAACCACCAGGTTGTCATCGCTCTTCTCTCCATCACTGTCCTATAAAATAATTAAATAAAACATTTTACAGTTCATTGTGATGCATCAGAGTTTTGACTCAATTTACACAGTAAATTTGTACATGTCCACTATACAGGCCAGAAGTCAATGAGGGACTTTCTTTTGTGATTACTAACCAGTGATCTCTGATAAAAAGTGCTCACGTTTGGACATTGAGTGAAAAAAGTATTGGATTCAACCGCTGTAATTTCCAGTTGGAACAGGTTACCAAAACTTGCTGTTCAGGTTCAAATGTGAAGACCTAACATTTAGGCAATGTACCAAAGGGCTGCATCCTTCTGAAATTGTGTCCCAGCAAGTTAATATCTTCAGGAAATTAGACTCAAGGGAAAAGGCGAGATGATTGAGCAAAAATATATGTTAAATGCAAATTTAACATTGTTGATTTCAAAGATATTAATTCATTGCATGTGTCAATTATGTTATACAGTAAGTAGCATCTTTGCTGGCAGATGACACTGCAGTGCTCCCTATTTCTTCAGTATAGGGCATCAGGGATTGCCTTTCATTATCCACTGTCCATCCTTTCTTCCCCATTGGTTTGGGATAAATTTGGGATCATAAAAAAAACATTTCACATTTACAAAGACCATTTAAATGCTTGGCATGGTCAGTGGAGTGCTGCTGTATTGGGATTACTGGATAAAGGTTGGGTATCAGGGTTAGACTTTGCGATTGCAGAAAATAGTTGGTATATCCAGTTGTGTATAGCTTGCATCTCCTGGTCCCACAACCAGAAATGAAATTTTTTGTTCTCACTCTCCATTCACCCCTGCCCCCAATGTACAGACACGGACAACCAGAAATGAGAGTAGTCAAACTGTGGAGAAGTCACTAGTTTTTACACTCTCTTGTTTCACCTCTGATGTTCAGATTAGCACAGACAAGATATCTAAAAATGAGATACACCCAGAATTACAAAGGAAAGAACTGCAAAGAATATGCGGTTGAGACAAAATAAACACTGCAACACATTTTCGGCCAAACAAGCAACACTTGGGTGGTTACTTACATAACGATTTGCTAAATCTTTATCATCAGTCTTCTGCTTCTTACTGTCTGTGGAATAATCATTAGAGTTTCTGTGCTTCTCTGCAGTTCTGAAACTAGCCGATGGTGAAACAGAGGAACTCTGAAATACAAGCAGCAACAGCCAGTCAACGAGACTGCACAAAACACATATGGATCGAAGGCTCTAAACAGTAAAAAAAAATCAGTTTATTTAAGCTTAAAACTGGTAATACAGTCGAAGCCTCTTAAATGTGAAGATCTTGGTGGTGAGCAAAACGCACCCTTTATCCAGTCATTAATAGTAACTAACCAAAGAGCATTAAAAACACACGTGTTGAGTCTGTTGAGCAATATCCAGTCTAGTAAGTGCCTAAGCAGTATTAACATATCCAGAACAGCAGGTTTACCTTGGTTGATAGCAGGATAGCATGAGCATACATAATTTTCAAAGCACAATGGTTCATTTTGGGCAGGTCTCCTATCCAAGACAACCTCCACCCCACCCCACACAAACAGAACATCAGATCAGTAGTGCTAACGCCATCCTCAAAACAGAGATTGAGCAGGACTGGACACCCATTATGAATACAGCCACAAAACATGCGTATTAGCAGACTCAGTCAGCTGATTCCAAGTTTAAGCATTGCTTGTGAAATAAAATTCCAATGATAAGGATATGAATCAATAGTTTATCTGCACTGCCGAAGGAAGGAGCTAACAGAGATCAGGCACTTCCCCAACTCTGCTAAAGGCAGACTCACTCCCTCATTGGAACTATCTGGTCAAATCCTGATCTCCAGTTCTTTCCTCATCCAATTTAAATAAGAAGTTAAAATAAAAGATGAAAAAAAAACAAGGAATTGTAATGTAGGTTTGGCTACACTTCAACTTAAATATTGTTACATTTAACCCAAATTAGGTTTGATCAAACATTGTTGTGGTTTGCAATGAACAAGGCTCAATTACTTGTGCAGTTCAGGTGGCATATGACAGACGGAAGCTAATGTCATCATCTGAATGCAGATTAGTGAAAACATAACATTTAGTAATTATTTCAGGTCCCTATGGTCATGTATTACAAATAATTAACATTTCAAGGTTAATAAAGTGCTTTTGATTTGCCTGCTTATGTCTTGGCAGACACACACAACTGAAAGCAGTTCTAATTTAGTAATAATTGCAAATACATTTCTGCAATAAAGTAATTTTGACGAAGAAGAAAACATTATCTGCAATACTGTACATAGATTGAAAATAAATGGGACTTATCGATAAGATCAGTAAAATAAACTTTCAATTAATTGCTCAGATTTTGGTAAGAAATATTAAATCATATAATGCTCTGATTAACCATTTATCCGCCATCTCCATTAAAAACAAGGGTTTCAGAGAGAAAGCGGGAGAGAAAGAGAACACATTCTGTCATCAGTAAAGAGGGCATTAAATGGGGATTATCACCAGAAAATACGAAGCCACAGTAGCAGTTAAATGGCCACCTTCAGTACTATAAACTTTCTAGGATTCTATGAATGGCCACTTCTCAGTTTAAGTCATTCACATCTGGAGTGGCAACACTCCAGCCACACCTGCCATTCGACTACACATTGTGCATTAAAGCAAAGTCCTCTTTAAGCAAGAGAAGAAAAAAAACACCTACCTATCCAGACATGCTTCAATTACCTGTTTGCACATTCCTCATTTGATACATAAAACTCCTGTTATCTCACAGCCCTTCCCATTATCTTACCTTTTTGTTTGTTCTCATTTGTATCTAATGCTTGTATTTAATGTCAACAAGTCTATAAAAGGAAAAGTAAATAGCTACCTTAAACACAGCTTAATGGTGCAATGCTGAATTCCCACAATTATGTGCTCAGCTGCACAATACATGCTCAGACTGTACTTATTGAGAACACTGTCAACAAAAAGCAGAAACCCAATAGCTAGGTAGGTCAAAACTGCCAGTGTAAACCCTTTTTTTAACAGGAAATGTTGCATTCTGTCTCTGTTGCTTCAGTAAACATGCAAGACTGTTTAGCCATACAGTGTTTGTTTAGTTTATTCTATGAACCATGAAGTAATGGCTTTCTAGAGTTTTTTTTCCTGTGGGCTGACTGCCTAAACTGAATGCTGATGGATCGAGCCCTAAAGATTGTTTTCCTGCTGTTGGAGGTGGGGGGGGGGGGGGGGGGGTCGGAGTGCAGAAACAGATCAATTGCGAGTAGGCTATTCTGCACCAGTACGGACTTCTGCATGGAAACATTTATTTAATTATTTTGAAGCCAGAGTTAAAATTTGGGTTTCTTCCACCAATTGATCTTTTTTGTCCTCCTCTCCTCCTGAAAAGGTTTATGCTTTTGTTTTAATGCTACTGCTGAGACACACAGTTCTATGAGTGCCAGTTGTCCTCTAGTACCTCGCTGAAGTACCCATCTGTCTCTTGCCAGACAGTATTGGCAGAATTCTTAACAGGGAGAGCCACCACAGCATCACTTGGTTACGTTCTTATCCAACTTTCACAAATTGCACTAATAGCCTGAATCTCTGGAACGAGAATGCAAGACGATTTTCTCCCCCATTTACGTCAGGACTGCTATGGCCGGTAGTAACACTCTACCACTGCCTCAGCTGATACCAGTTAATTCAACAGACATGCATTTCGTCCACAAAATACAGCTAATCCACTTTACAATATATTCTGTGAGACATCTCAACTATGTGATAAGGCACCATATCATATGCAAGAATTATTATAATCACTATTAACCCTGCAACTTTATGGTCTGTATGGCTCAGTGCGATCTTCACTCACTGAGCCAGTGGGGATAGTTTAAAAAATATATTTTTTACACTAACACTTAATGAAAAGTTAAATGAAGTGCTTCCTTCAAGAGCTGAACATATTCAACAATATAGATTTCAAAGTAAACTATATGTATCCGCAGAAGTAATAAAACAGTGTTCAGTGGTATTCTTGGTCAACAGACTATTAACCTGCATAACTCGGTCTGAAACAAAATATTTATACGTAACGCCATGCATCTCCACTGCATATCATCCAAATATTTTTGGGCAAGCAACAAGATATAAGAAATGCTAGTTATAGATGATTGAACCAGTTACTAATCTTAAAAATCAAAAATGTGTTCATCCATAAAGAGACCACCCCCTTTTTTTCTCTTCGTCCTAAAGTTTACGTTCCCTGGTCCCATTGACTGGAAATGAATACAAAATTGGCATTACAATTGCCACCCTTGAGTGAAGAACAACAATGGCACGCACTAGTTGAGCCAAATGGCCCGTTTTCGTGCCGTATAACTGTGTTAAATCAGCACCTCTATGAATAGTCAGCATTGACATTCTGCAGCTGGCGTAAAAGTGGCAAATTAATTTAATAATACCACTTTGCATTTCATATGGTGGTTCATCACATCGGAATATCTCGAGAGCTACAACTGAATAGGAATAATTCACTCGCGAGAGACCAGCAGGCTGTCATTGAGGCCCGTCAGCTTGACTGAAGGACTTGAGTCAAGGCCAGTCTTTAATTGTAACCCACTGTATTCCTGCACTGAAAATGACTATTTTATTCAATCACATGCTGCTTGAATGTTGCATGCTGAATGGCGGGAGAGTGCCCTCAATTGTCAGTTGAGACCAGTTAAGAGTTGATGAAGATACCTTGAAGAAGTTGGGATGCTGCTGTGACTTGATACAGTCCGCTCCACAAGTCGTTTACAAGTGGCACACGAATATGGACATTTATACAGTTTTCGGTTCGGTTTTATGTCACTTCATTCCAATTTGGTTAGAAATGTAGTTCGGGGAAATTATCAGGCAGCGTGGAAATGCTTATCCAAGTTAAATAAATGCAATTCAAAGCAACAAATTGAAATCCGAGTCAAATGAATTCACACTCTAATGGCCACAGCAACAGCCGATAAAACAGTGTAACGATTGGTCATCTGCATGCTTCCTCATGTGTAACAGCCAAGCTTTTCACATGTTTCGTTACAGCATCCGAATGTTTCAGGTTAAATGACTAGCTTGCAGCACTGCCTTTATAGATGAGCATCATTTCTGGTACGGGACTGTTTGTGAAAAGGAGTAGGAAATGAAAAAGACCAGAGTCTGGCAGAGCAAATGCAAGTGATTTTGAACTTTCTGAGTGATCGTGAAGCAATTACCATGCCAGAACATGTACACAAAAGTATGCAGCATGAACAGCTTCTACACAGCTCATGCTGTGGAAAATGGCTGTACTGTGTGAATATGTAAAAAAATTTATACACTTCAAGTTTCAATTGCACTGCTGATAAATTGCCATTTTTACTAAAATTGCTGCAATTAATTGGAGGAGAATGGAGTGAAAGGCAGTCGGAGGTTATAAAACAATAGTCATAGAAGGTGACACAGCAAAAGGCAATAGAAGGCTATACAGTTAGACCCAGAGCACGATCCCATTCCTCAGGCATATTAATATTAATTTTTTAAGGGGCAAGCTGAAAGAGATTGAGGGGTGTTAGCTGACTCATCACTCACCACGTCAATGTCAGTGTGAGGCAGCAATAATCAAGGTAAAGAGGATGCTGCGCTATATTGCTAAATCATTTGGGTTTAAATCTCCACTCGTCACAATTGGACTGTATAATCCTCTGGTCAGACCGCACCTTGAATACAGTTCTGATCACCACAACATAAGGTGGCTACCCGGGTAATCGAGGCAGACGAGAGCAATGAGGAAGATTCTCAGAGGTGGAGGAATGAGCAACGAGATCTAGGGATGTTAGTTGACTCATCACTCACCAAGTAAAAAGAGTAAAAGGCTGCAGTCATCAAGACAAAAAGAACTTTGGACTGTAACCTAACCAGTTGAGTTTAGATCCCCAGAAGTCATATTTAAGGGGTAATGTGAGTACCTCTGGTTCGCCTGCACCTGAAGGCCTGCCTATAATTTTGCTCGCTGCAACATAAAGGGGCTCCCCAGACCTTTGTGACAGTCCAGAGAACAATCTCCAGTGTTTGAGGAATGAGGTAAAAATTAAGACAAACTAGTGCTATTCAGGCTTGCAAATAGATGTTTCAGAGAGCACCTTATACAAGGCATACATGCTTTGAATG